AATTGTTCTATTAGAATAATACATGTGAAATTTAGGATTTTTTGGATTTGCTTGTAATTTGAGGAAATGAGTTTGTATTATATCTCTTGTGGATGTTTGGATGGCCACGGGTGGCCATTGACCAGATATCGTAGAGTGGGTAAATACATTTCTTACTTCATGAGGGTTTGAATTTTTTCTACCACTCATAGTGGGGGTGGTGCCTTGCGAGGACCAAACCACTATTCGCTCACGTGGTACCGAGGTTGAAGGTTAATATACTATTCATGGATTGGATTCGTCACTGCCAATGCGTTGGTATACGCCCTTCCTAAAATTGGATATCCTTGCGAGGATTGAGTGTGTGTGTGTGTAGACTAAGATATTCTCGATGTGTTTATTCATGTGATGTCATACATCATACCTAAGATACAAGTACAGATAAAAATACAACTTGTGGTTTGATATACATTGTGAGCTATTGTTTATTGTGCAAATGGTTAGTTATGGTTTGTTCTGAAATTGGTTATTGTGAAAATGGTAACTTGTGTGACGCCCCTAAAACTAGGGGTCCTTTGTCGACCGTTGACCACCCGTCAACCCGCGGAAGTACCCATGCTTGTAATACGACCCGATATCATGTCAATCGTATCCCCTTAGCCGGGATCATAACCCACACATACAACCCATGTTCCTTTAATCATTTAATTCAACGGAGGTCCAATGTGCCTCAATATACCTCATTTAATGTCCATTTGTATCGTTAGAACTAAAAAAAATAAAGCTCAAAAGGGTGGCAAAACAATTTTAAATTTTCAGATTTTTGGAAGAGCTACCGGTAGGTGTTTGTTAAACCTATCAGTAGAAGTTCTACCTGTAAGCTACCAATAGCTGTTTCCTACTGGACAGGTACTACTTGTTAACTACTTATAGGTTTTGCCCAGAATTTTATGTTTCAATTCATCCCAAACCTTCCCAAATCCATCCCAAGCATGCATAATGAAGTTTTCTACATTATAAACAATGCGTACGAGTTCAATTACATGCATTTACAAAATTTATATGTCAAAACAACATTTAACCAAAGTTTTACAAAAACTTGTTTCCAAGAGCCACAATCCGGCTTTTCTTCAATCTCGAGGCCCCGAATGCGAGTCCTCCACCGGTATTAACTCCACACCTGAAATGTTTCCCGTATAGGATGAGTCAACGCCCAGTAGAACATTTCCTATAGAGGCTACTCCCCCACCTAAGTGCATATGTAACGATCTTATGCAACAATCGCTAACATAACTTCACTTCATTCAAGAACATGCTATTCAAGATGAAATTCCTACCATGTCATGTCATGATATGAGATGAGACTCACTCATGCATTCTCGCCCAAGCCTACTCCAGCTTCCACAACACTACGCAATACATGTGTGTAAAATATTTATCTTTTATGAAATATATCCAAAGATTATTTTGAAACAAAACCCATGTGTTCATAAAAGCCAATTCATTTCTAGATGTTTTCCATCAAATGAATCATTTATGTAACCAAAACCATGTGTTTTTATTTGGGCAGTGGACTTTTGGTGTTGCACCACCGGCTCTACACAACGATACACTTTTTGGACTTGCACCGTCGGAGTGTATGAACCAATAGTCAGGCCTTGCACCCGAGGGGGGAATCTATCCCTTTTTGATATACCCGACACAAGTTTTCCATGTATGCAACTGTGCGACTCAGAAGGATATTCAACCCCACTTTCCCGAGCTCACTCATCAAACACCAAGCATGGTGATTGATTCAACCATGCACTCACACCCATGAAATGCGATGTGTTCTCCATGCATATGTAGCGTAATGAACCATTGCACTACCAACATCATGCTCAATGTAATGAATGCAAATGAGTCAATTTAACCACGTTTCATGTCTCATATGTAATGAATATCATATGAACAAATTACACATCTCAACATGTGTTATGACAATTTATATCAATGCATATAATTACCACTATTTATCACAATGTCAATATATCAATATTTGTATCAATTAATTATCTAGTATGCTACTACATAATCCATGTCAATAACACACTTAAATCACAAGACACATTATAAACATAGAGCATGCCCAAATAAACCCAATTTTCAAGATTTTATGTAAACACATCCACATATTAAAATCAAGCTTCAAGGGATCTCATAATGAGTTCCCTATGCCAAACCCTAACTAGGAATTAGTCTAAGCCAATTCCGTACCCATTTTCTCATTTCAATAGTCCTAGTCAATTGACCCAGGTCATTGTATACCTTTACCCATTCTATAGGACAACCTAGATAAGAAATAAACCAAGGTAGAAGAAACCCTACCTCTTGGAGCGTAGATTGAAATGTAGAAACTTCAAAAATACCAAACCAATTCCAAAACCTTGATTTTCCAAATCTCTCCTTTTGGATCTTCGGTAAAATTTCTCGTTCTTGGTACGTACGCATAGCCCTTGTCGCGTAGACCAACTTAACTCTTGGTCCAATGGATTCCGATTGACGGAACTCCAGGAATCGAAGGAGAAAGCTAGAAATCTTGATTTTTTTTCCTCTTTTCTTTCTTCCAACGTGTGGTGTGCTGAACAAGTGGGGAAAATATTTGATTTTCAGATATTTAAGCCCGTATTTATACTTTTAATTGTGTGGTCCACATTGTCCCGCTCGTTTATCACTTGCGGGTCTGTTTTTAATCCGAAATGACTTCATTAAATTTCGGTTTTAGTTCAAATTATTTTTATTTGAATTTTTACTCAATTATAAGAAAAATTTATAATTTTCATTTTGGGGGACCTTTGAAAGTTCATTCGTCACTCAACTGTCTCAAAAAATGTGTAAAATTCGACTATCTCGAAATTTGACAAAAATTGACATAATAACTCAATTTCGCGATACGAATCCAATGGTGAAGTCCATTGCTCCATCCGAACTCTATAAATATATATTTTAAACCCTCATAATAGTGGCAAATTACTATTTTACCCTTTGTCAAAAAAAGTTCAAATTTTTTTGGGTTTTATAACTTGTTGGGAATTGTAATTGTTGAGAATTGATTTTACTTTTTCATTTAATTATTGCTATTGTATAAATTTGAAATTCATTGAAATGTCCTTGTTTTCCTTCAAAAGCTATATATGATATTTATAAAATGAGACCGACCATTTTATATACTTTTGAAACTTTATTCGAGTTTGAGAGGATTTTCCTACAAAGCGTAGTGCTCACCCCCTTACAAACAACATCTTTTTCAGATTGTGGTTTAGAGAAAGAGTTGGGGTTGATGAGCTAATATATTGGTAAACTCCAATAGATGGGAACATGAATCCCGAGATGGATGTTTAGAATTATATTCTCTTATGTTCTAGACTAGAAAATTCATTTTAAGACAATGTGAAGTATAATATTTTTGTTATTTCGTTGCAAGATAATAGTTGATTTTTGGATGTAATTGTCATAGTTGGGCATATTCTTTTGGATGATGTTGTATATATTGTGAATGATAGATGAAATTCTCTTTAATTTTAAAATTCATCTAGTTGCTCTCATTATGTGAATGATTTTAGATAGTAATGTCGTCCAAGGAAAATTTGGGGCATTACAATAATGCACAACAAAATTGATGAGGAAGGATCATTGCTTGTGAAAAATCCAAGGAACAACCACACAAACTAGTTTTGTTTTTTTTTTTTAATGAAAAGAGAATTTTATTAAATAAATCTCAAATTTACAAGAATCAAAAAACAATAATTGTTTTAACAAAAACTAAAAAAACTGTTAAAGCACAAAACAAAAATCTGATACAGAGTTTTGATGCCAAAAACTAGACAAAACAGTTTAAAATTCCTCCTGTACAACTGTTGCAAACAGGTCAGCCTCTGAAAACCTCTATTCAGCTACAATGCTACCTGCAAAAACAGTAGAAATCCCATAACAAAAAGAAAGGATGAGAAGGCACAAAGAGAAAAGGGATTTTAGTTAACTACGCTTCATTGGAGATTAAGAACTCCTACAGTCTGAAGAGAATATTTACTCTGCAAAAAATGTTTTCTTCGTGACTAACCATAAGCTCATGAACCTTGCTGCTGCAGAAAACATTCAAACAGATAAAAATCATATGCATTCATCGATGAAACAAGTATGATGTGGGTTTAGCTGGAGCTCAAGAATAGGAAGGAAGACAACGAAGTTGAAACACAACATATGTGACTGCATAGCTGAGCTCAAGAACAGGAAGCTCAACTATGTTCTGCTCCTTTCCATGCCCGCTCCTAGTATGACAACTTATCAATTATCATTTGTTCAATACTCAACTGTGGATCTCCTCTTTGACTGATTATATATCAAACTAGTATTGAACTCAGTAACCTCTCACTTATCTCAGGGTAAAAAAAATTCTTTTATGGAAAAAATTTTCAGGTCTTTATAATTTTTCAGGTAAGATACCACAAACCTAAAAAATCAATAGAAATACCATTCTGGACAGCTAAGGATGCTAAAAAATCAGCTATCACATTAGCTTCCCTGTAAACATGCTTAATCTGCACCTGCAAAATGCCCAACAAACTCTTGATCTTGTCCAAATAGCCTGTAGCCTCCAAGGTATCTCTGCCTTCTCTAACACCATTTGTACAAGTATTTGAGAAAATTACACAAATCCAAGGAACAACAGAACCACAGAAACCAATAGGATCATTGCCTATGTAAAATAGGCGCATGTCATACCGTTAGATCTTGATGAGAAAATTAACCAAGTGATAAAATTAAGCAAATATTTAAACCACAATAATGTATTATTAAAAGGCAAAATTCAACCCTTAAATTGTATTATAAATAACCAAAGTATCCAAAAGTATTAGAACAATACAACATTGGTAACACAAATGGGCATAAAATACTAACTATAGCCTTTCTCTTGCACAACTAGGTAATCTTTTTCTTGCATAACAATGCAAATCAACGCCACCATAGCAATAGAAATCACGTCAGATGGATTGGGTAACACGAAGTGGACACAAAACACTATAATCTTCCTCTTGCAAAACTAGACGATCTTCCTCTTTTCTGTACCTACTATAGGAAAAAAAATTGTACAATGAATGGTTAATTCAAGTTTAAGAACAAAAACTCAACTTTTGAATAAAAAAACAAAAATTCATAAATTTCTCTCCAACTCATCAAATATACCTGCCAGTAGATGTTGACGTTGAAGACGTAATTGACAACTCTGAAATATCTACTATTTCTTTTGAGCTAGAACAAGGCACAGGGTGCATATCCTATTCACTATCCCAAGAAAGATATTGGTTATAGTAAACAATAATAAGAAATTTTATAAATTAAAATTATAGGACAACCATTAAAAAAAAAAAAGAACATCTATAATGAATCTTAGATTGCTAACCATGAAATGATTTCCAAGAACTCTTTGTGTGACCCCCCATAGCAAGGCCAAATTGTTCTATCACAGAAAACAAAAATAGTAGATTAATACAATAAAAAAAAAAAAAGCTACGATGTCAACAAGATAATAACATATACAATTTTCCTAATTCACATTACAAAATTGCAAAAAGGAGTATTGACAATCACTTATGCCAACATTAACCGTTTGTGTAATCTGCAAATCCTACATATTTAGAGTTAAAAAATTAACAAAGATCACGATAATAAATAACATCCAAATATTATAATTATAATTTGGATGTTGATGTCATACTGTTATCCCAATATTTTCTTGTGTTCCAAGTACATCAATCGCTTCACTCATGGGTTGACCATCAACAAGCCCAATGGCATCACTTTCACTCCGTCGGCAATCTTTCAAAAAATAAAATAACAAAAGGAAAAAATTACTACATTATTATTTTAAAAATTTTCATTTTATTCACACCTCTTCTTCTCTAGTGGTATGATTTCCATGTGATAACGTCTTCTTTTTCATTTTTTTTCCTTGTAACTTGCTCAACTTTTGATTGCTTCCTTTTGAATGGTGGATGGCCTTTGCTTCTAACTGCTAATGGAGTAAGTATACTCCTATCCTTTCATATATCATTTACATCATTAGAGTTTCTACCAACAATCGAGCTCGGACTTGGTTGATATATTCCACTACCTCCTTCGTTTTGGTGTAGTTTCTCCTTTAGATCATGTACACACTCCATCACAAACATGCACTTATCTTCATATTCAGCCGCCAAGCTTGCCAACTCGCTAAAAGTTTTGCACATTTTATCAAATTGTTCTGCTTCAGGTGTGTCATTCAAACAGTTATAATTGATTTTAATCTTTTTATGACATCTTTTCACATCCTTCCTCCATCTCCATATGACGTACTTATCAGAAAGTGAGTAAATCTTTCTATGTACTAACACTGCCACTGCATGCTTGCATAATATTCCTCTATACTCAAACACGCAAAAATTGCACTTCACTTCAGAATCTTTTTCATTGAACCAAACCTTGAAATTTGTACTCTTTCTTTTCTTCTCAAATACATCATATTCAGAAATCAAACCTTCCACTTTGACCGAAGTCACATCACAATATATCTTCTCGGTCAATTCACTTTGGAACTCCTTAAATTTTGAGATAGTGTAAACTCTTTGAACTTGTTTCTCCATGTCATAATGGGTTACACAAGGGACTTGCAAAGATAAAGACTTACATTCTTCCTGGTTCTCCTTTTCCACCTTACTTTTCAATGCATTTTCATATTATTCGACAAATTGTTTCAAGGTAGTCTTAGAGTTGACATAGCCATCAAAGAATGAGTTCATACTCTCACTTCGTTGTGTGGTAGACATTCTTGACCAAAAAATGATTTTCACAAAGATCGGCACCTAACGACGCCTCTCATTGTACAACCCACTCAACCAATCATTATTATGTAACCTGTACTTTTCAATCATTCCATTCCAACTTTCTTCAAATTCAGTACAACTTAATGAATCATAAACGGCCCTATGCAAGAAATATTTGATGGATTCATACTGCTCATAACCTCTCAACTTTTCAGGCAATTTCTTCATGATGTGCCATAAACACCATCGATGTTTAGCATTAGAAAAAACAATCTCAACTACTTTTTGCATGGCTTTGTCTTGATCGATAATTATGGCATGTGGAGCTTTCCAAGACATACATGCAAGCCACGATTGAAACAACCAAGTAAATGTTTCTATGTCTTCACTGGAGATCAAACCACATCCCAGCAAAGTCGATTGCCCATGATGATTGACACCTACAAATAGAGCAAAGGGCATGTCATACTTATTTGTCAAATACATAGTATCAAATGTAATAACATCACCAAATTCTTGATATGCTGCCCTACTTCTCGCATCAGCCCAAAACACATTTCTTAACTGACGCTCATCATCCAAATCCATTGTATAAAAAAAATTTGCATTTTCAACTTACATCTTTAAGAAATACTTTTGTATTGCAAAGGCACCTCCTTCCTTGAGCCGTAATCGCCTTATTTTCTCAATATAGTTTCTGCAATCCTTCTCTAAAAAAGAGATATTTTCATGCCTCCCGGCTTCAACCACAAACGAGGTGAAATTTTTCTTTAGTCTAATTCCCGCTCGATCGCTCAATTCAAGCTTCATTTTCACATGTGGTCTCATCACTCGATTGTATCAAAAAAATCGGGCTTTGCTTGGACTCAACTCATGGTTATGATCAAGCATGATAGTGTTCAGTCGTCACTTTCCATCTACACACAAAATTGCTAGGACCTTAGCCTTACAACCTACTTTTATGCTTGGGATGCGGCTTCAATGGATTTTTGGAAGTGGACTTTGACTTGCCTGATCGAGAATAAGCAATAGTCACATATTTCAACTCACCATCATCCCCTTTTGTTGATAATCTTATCTTCACTGGGAACCCTAACCGCTTACCATAGCCCGTGTAATACTCAAGCAACTGTTTATAACTTTCGAACATCATTCCAACCTTAGGCTCGTTTACATCAATTACATTCGTCATTTCTGTCACAACATTTTCTTCTATCAAACTGCAAACTACTTGAAGATTCACCTTCCATTGTAATAAAATTTTACTGCAACACTTGCTTTGTTGATTAACCAGAATTTTGTCTAATGCAAAATATGCCTAAACACCATATTAAAAGAAATTTATTTATGCTCCAAAATAACCAGCAAAAGGAAATAAATTATTTTTGTGTTTGACAAATCTATAAATCAAACCTTTGTTTGTATGTATGTATATATATATATATATATATATATATATATATAATCAAAATAAATAACTAGAAATATAACAATAAAAAACAAATTGAATCAACCTCCAATTACTACCCTGAAAATAAATAAAATGAAATCCACATACTGTAGAGCCAACTATGGTGGAGTCAATTTCGACAGATGTTCGGGACAATGTATACTTCGGCAAAGAGATGAAGAGGGAAGAGAACGGCTATGACTTCAGCGAAGAGATGTAGCCAACTAGAAGAAGAGGAGGAAGAACATCAGCGAAAAAGCCCAGTTTAGGTGGGTTTACTACTTGTGCCTTGTCGTTCAGGTGGATTTTTTCGGTGAAGAAGCTCGTCGTTCATGCGGTTGGCGTCGATTGAAGATTAGCAATTGGGGTACTCTGTTGAAGTTCAAGAGGTCCAAAAATTTTAGGGCTTTGGCAAAAAAAGTGTGCTAGTTCGGGGGAGAGAGAACATGAAAAGATGGCTGATTTTTTGATGAAATTAGAATTTTTTAAGTTGTTGATTTTTTAAGTTTTTTTTTCTTAAGAAATTAGGTGGCTTAAGTTGCTGAGTTGGTAAGGACACTTCAACTGCCACATCATCAAGTCACTTATTTAAATCTAAAAATTAGGTCCCAATAGCATTACCCCTTTCAGAATAACTTCATCAAAATAAATCACATTATTATCATCCATAAGGGCTATCCGATAATTTCTCGGCCTTTGCTCCTAAGTGGATTCCTTGCTGTCGAGCATTTCATATTCTAGAATTGTTAGGTTTTGTGAATTTTATTGGGTCCACCAGCATGTGGTCATCTAGGTGTTATTCTTTAACCTTTTTTATACTACCTTGAGCATAGTTATGGCTCCATTGGATCATCCTCCATAAGGTTATCTCCACTCTTTATTTAAATCACTATTTTAACATTAAATTTGAGTAAAAATAGACTAAAAATAAGTTCTAGTCTTTTGTGATGTTTGATAAAACTGAAAAACTAAATACTGAAAATTGAATGTTGAATGCTGAATTTTTTAATTTGTAGATTGTTTGTTATTAACTAAAATTTAAGTATTTAATTTAATCAAACTGTTTGATAAATATAATGAGCTAAAGTTCAAAAAATCTTTAACCATCTCTCTCTAACTGCCTTATTCCAATCACCACCGTCATAATAGTGGTGGTAGTAGTGGTGGTGGTAGTGACATAATGGTAGTGTTGGCGACAACGATGATGGTGGTGGTAACAACACTGTGGGAGTAGTGGCGGCAACACAATGGCAGTGGCAGTGGTATCGATGGTTGTGGTGGCAGCAATAATGGTGGTGGTGGTAACAGTGACGCAATGGTGGTGGTGACGGTGACATAATAGTAGTGATGGTGACAGCTATACAATGGTGGTGGTAATGGTGACATAATAGTAGGGGTGGTTGTAGCGATACAATGGTGGTGGTGATAGCAATACAATGGTGGTAGTGGTAGAGACAATGGTGATGGTGATGGTGATGGTGGTGGTGACGGTGGCACAATGGTAGTGGTAGTGACAACGATGATGGTAGTGGTGATAGTGATGGGGGCAATAGTGGTAGTGACGGTGGTATAATGGTGGTGGTGGTGCTAATATAATAGTGGTGAGAGTATATATGTCAATTATGAGAAATTGATAAAATTCTTACTGACTAATATTTTTAGCATTAAGTGATAAGTAGAGAGTTTACTACTTAAAAATTTTGACCTATTTTTAAGAAGTGCTTAAAATATTAAATAATATAAGTTTTAAATTATCAAACGAGTTTAATTTATTAATTATTTATAGTATTCTATTTTAAATCTTAAGTGATGATATCAAATAGTCCATATTTTACATTTCTTTAAATTTAAGTTATTTTTTTTAAGAATTTGAATTTATCTATTAGAGTGTATTATATCACATTAAATTTTTTATTTATTTTTTTATTTAAATTTAAATCTAAATACCTTGAATGTTGAAAGCAAATTCAAGATGGTTGTTGAGAGGAGTTAAAAGTTTGAAACCAATCTTTCAACTCTAACTTTTAGAGAGAGAAAATCTAGAGAGACGTGAAAGCATTTTTCTTTGTATGGTAATTATTTTAGATTTAACGTGACGACAAAGCAATCGCAATGCATGTGTCCCGGGGAATTAATTAAATCCCATGATTTATGTGACCCTTTGAAAGAAGAAATCATATATTAACAGTGCCTCGATCAGAAGACGTCATTGACGACGACACACAATTTATTAATTCAGAATTCATTTACAGATTATTGGATCTCATTCCCCTGTGCCTTTTGAATTTGAAGAGGTTTGTTGTACCGAATTTTTTTTTTTTTTTTTGATATCGACAATTACAAATTTTATGGTTTATTTTTTATAATTTTTAAGAGTTACTTACAACTTCTGAAAATAGTTTACAAGTTTTTAGGATCATTTATAATATTTGAGGATTATTTATAATTTTTGAAGTTATTTATTATCTATCACAATATTTTAAGGATCGATCCTAAATGACATATAAAATTTTTTTATGACCCATAAAAGTTATAGTGTAACTTCAAAAGTTATAGATTTTTATTTTATCGTAAAAAAATTTAGAAAACTTGTATCTCAGCCCACAAATTATTAAAATTTGACAATATGAACCAAAATTTATGTTCGGCACCATAATCTTCTGCAATTTTTTTTTTTTTCATTTTGATCAAATTCAATTGCTTATCACTAATTGTATCACAAATTATAATTTGTACCTCAAAATATGTAAAATTTTTATTTTATCCTTATATGTTCAATCTATTAAAAGTATTATAATGTAACATTTCTGTTGCTAATGAAAATATTTAAAGATATAAAATGAGAATTCTTAAATATTTCATAATACAAAAAAAAAAAAAAATTACCCCCAAATATTAATAAGACATCACTTAATTCTACCGAGTTTTCTATATTTTTTTTTTGCTGGTTGTTGAGCTTTCTGTCAAGAAAGCTCCTAACGCCAATAACAGGAAGGGGAAGGACTGCTACTATTCTCCTTGCAAAAGGTAATAGTGATCGGAAAAATTGCAAGAAGGTATGTAAAATTAGATTTAATTGTTAAAAAGTACACAATTTTTAATGTTAGGTCATTAAGTTTTTTTTTTTTTTTAGAATTTTATTGTGTCCAAGTACACAATTTAATTTTTTTGTGATTTTTTTTGACATATTTACCCTTATATATATATAAGTTCTTATAAAATAAGAATCTAAAATTTAGGAAATCAAAATTCATAATAAATCTTTTTTATTTTTTTAGGAATATGTTTTAAAATTTTTGAAAAATTTTAAAATATGACAACTAAAAGTAAATAATTTTAATTATCTTATCTTAAAAAAAAATACTAAAATCAAAATTATTTAATTTTAGTACTTTCTAACATAAGATAATTAAAATTCTTTAATTTTAGTTATTAAATTTTAAAGTTTTTCAAAAACTTTAAAATATATCTTTAAAAAAATGAAGAAGATTTATTATGATTTTCCTAAATTTTATGTTTTTTGTTTTATTAGAACTCCTTATATTTTAAATGGATTTTTTTACAAAATATTTTTTTATGTTTATTTTTTTATCATTAAATATAATTTCGTGTATCGGCTTTTAAATATCTCTAGTATTTATCTAAGGGTGGGGATATTCTCACCCCATAAATCTCGATTCTCACCCCTATTTAATTTTTTAATATCAAATTATTAAACTCACATCTTCTATATCCATCTCATTAATACCTAAGTTTATGTCATGTTACATACACCTCATTTAATAAGTAAAACTTACTTTACATTTTATCATAATTAGGATTTCATTTTTTATCTTATATCATGCATTTCACAAAAACATTTTTCAATATAAATTTTTCTAGTGAAATATATGTTAGTATTACTTCTCAATTTAATTCTATTTTTGATTTCATAAATTTTTATTATTTTCAGTATGTTTTAATATTTTTTATTTATATGTGTGTATGTATATTTATTCTTTGAGATTATTTATTCTTTTTTTTTTAATTTTTTTTAGGTTTTGCATCTATACTTGTTATTTTTTTTCTTGCTTGATTTTGTACTTGTTCTTGATTGTTTTTATGTTTGATTTTGCGTCTTGTGGTTTTACGTTTTATAATTTTGCTTGCTCTTTTAATCTTTACTTGTTTTTTTTTCTTCTTTCTTATTTCGGTTTGTTTTTTTTTTTTTTTCATGTTTCGTTCTTTTTTATTTTTATTTAAAAGGGATGTATATATCATGAGGTAGACTTAGTTAATAATGGGGATAAGTATAGAAGGAGATGAAATTAATAATTTGATAATAAAAAATTAAATTGGGGAGATAACGAGGATTTGTGGATAAGAATAGCTCTACCCTTGTCTAATTGTTTGAACTTTTTCTTTGGTGTTGTAATTCCAATAGCCTTACTGCAAACTCAAACTATTAATTATGTCTATTATTATAAATACTAGTTATTGTCTGTATCGGAAGACACAGAGTAATAAAAAATAGTAAATAATAAACATATTTATATTCATATTCAAAATCAAATCACAAACATAGAAGAGAGATGAATAAATTTAAACATCGGTTGTAATTCGGGTGAGAAGTAGTGAGCGACAGTGATAGTGTTAAGAGACGGTGATGGTTGTGATAGGTGACAATTACCATGGTGACAGCGATGGTTGTGGCGGCAGTGGCGGTGGCAATGGCGATGGTGCCGATGGCGGTGATTGTGGGGTGGCGGCAACAGTAGTGGCGTGGGTGATGGCGGCGACAACAGTGACGGGGGTGATGGTAGCGGCGGAGTGGGGGTGGTGGTGATTATAGAGGTAGTGATGAGATAGTTTGAAATTTTTTTTTTTTAAAATACTTATGAAAAATAATTTTTAGAAATATTTTTAAAAAGTCACTCTAAATATACTTTTAAAGACATATGTTTTTTTATTAAATTTAGAATGTTAATATGAGCTATTAGATTAAATTTAAAGTGATTTGAATTAATAAAATAAAAATAATTTAGTTTATATTTAATATTTAATATTTAAATTATAAATTATTTTATTATATAGATATTTGTTCAATGTGGCTTACTGAATTTAATGATAATATATTATACAGAGTACCGCAGATGATAACTAAGTTTAATACAAATGACACCTCGAAACTTGCTCCGGTGGGCTGGGTAACTCCGCCAATGGAGAATCATTTGGCTGGAAGAAAAGTGATCGGTAGTATTTAAATCAGTAATACTAAATTGATCATAAGATTAAATTTAAAATTTAAACGACATGTCAATTGATTTGGATTTCTTTGATTGGTATCATGTCATTCAGGTTCTATTAAAAATTTTAAATAACCAACTATTATGTTATTTAAACTCTAAATATGATCCAAAAATTTAATTAATTTAGCATTACTCTATTTAAATACGCTCACCACATTAACTCACACACGCTGAGAGTAAAACCATGAAAATTTTTCCCATCTTGGCCACACCCCAACCACTAGTAATGTCGCCTTTCACTCTCGCCATTATATCTCTATTCCTTGCCGCCCTCTGGTCCTTCATATATCTTCGGCGGATCGCCTCACCGTCGATAACTAGAAAAAATGGCCGTCGACTTCCACCAGGCCCCCGAGGCTTGCCCGTCATCGGAAACCTCCATATGCTGGGCAACCTCCCCCACCGCAGGCTCCATGAGATGTCCAAAAAGTATGGCCCTATTATGTCCCTCCGGCTAGGCCACGTGCCCACTATTGTCGTTTCATCACCGGCCGCCGCCGAGATCTTCCTCAAGACCCACGACACCGTTTTCGCTAGCCGGCCAAAAGTCCAGGCCGCGGAGGTCTTGTCTTATGGCACTAAAGGCATGGCTTTCACTCAGTATGGTCCGTACTGGAGAAACGTGAGGAAGTTTTGTACACTGGAGCTTCTCAGCGCCACAAAGATCGAGTCACTTTCCGGTATGAGAAGGGAGGAGCTTGGGTTGTTGGTGGAGTCGCTAAAGAAGGCGGCGGCGGCGCGCGAGGTTGTGGATGTGAGTGAGAAAGTGGCGGGGCTGATTGAGGACATGACCTACAGGATGCTCTTTGGACGTAGCAAGGATGATAGATTTGACCTGAAGGCTGTCATTCAAGAGGCATTAGAACTGGCTGGAGCTTTCAATCTGTCAGATTATGTACCCATCTTCAAGCCACTTGACCTTCAGGTATTTAAATTTTTATTGATATTTTCATGTATTATGTTGGTATGTTTTATGTGATGCAAGGATTCTTGATAGAAACAATGTCACACACCCACAAAAGTTTCTCGGTGGATCCTCTTTTTTAAAACTTTTCAATTTCAATTTTTTTTAATAATACACCGTTAAATCGATAAGTTTTATGTGATATTATTAGAGATTCTAATGCTCTGTTTGGTAGGAAGAATAAAAAGTAGGATATATATATTTTTTATCTTTTAAGGATGAAAAGTAAAAATGATAGAGTAACTAGGATCAATTTAGTCACGTTTTCATGTTCTAATTGAACGCTTTCCATTTATTCATGTTTGGTTGGATAAATAAAAAATAAAAATAATTTTTTTTGTCTAATATTAAGGGTGACAATCGAATCATGTCGTATCAGATTTATGTTGAATCGTAAAATTATGAGTCTTTTATAGTTCTTATTCGTGTGTCAATTTATTTTCAAGTTTGTGTCGAGTTATAATCAAGTTCGTGCCATAAAATTCGTGTCGATTTCGAGTCGTGTTATAGTGTTCAATCAAAAATGGTTACCCCTAATTAAGATAGAAAAAATATTCATTTAATTCAAAATTTTTATTTTTATTATTTTATTATTATTTTTTTTAAAAAATATATGTATTTTATTATAATATTTTTATATGAAATTAATATATACATAATATATAAACAAATAAAATACATCTCAATAAAAATAATTAAGGGCCTGTTTGGTTTGTGTTTCAAAAAACAATATTCGAAAACAGTTTTGAAAAGAGTTATAAGAAAATGGTTTTGATATTTTTTAAGATAAAAAACTTGTTTGATTAGATGATTTCAAAAATAATTTTACAATATAAAAAATAGTAAAATCTGTTTGGACAACCTAAATATATATTTGAACAGTAATTCAAACAATAATAAAAAAATATAAAAAATTTATTTTTATATTGATATTTATATATATATATATATATATATATATATAAACCTTTAAAAATTATTCTCCTTGTTTTCAAAATTTTCAAAAAAAACTCTGAAAACAAGCTACACTTGTTTTCTGTTTCTTTGACTCAAATCTCATTTTTTTCCCAATTTAGAGAATAAAAATGCTAAATAAACAGGTTTTAAGTGTTTTCTAAATTTTGAGAACAAAAAACAGTTTCTGAAAACCAAACCAAACATGACCTAACTTTTCATCCATTTTCGTTTCGATTTTGAAGGTATTGATTTTGGTGAGTTTGGAAGAAAAGTTAATTTATCAATTTTTCTATCCTTCCTATTTTTCTTCCTTACTAAACATGATATTTTATTTATTCTTCCAATTTTTCATCATTCCATTTTTCTATTTTACCAAACGGAACATAAAAGTTTGTTTGTGGGACCTAACTGAATATTGAACAAACCGACATGGGTTGTTTTGTAGTTGAATGAGTCTCTTGGTTATATAAAATTTGAGTTTAATTAATTTGTATCATTTTACGAGTGATTATATGGATTTGAGATTTTTTTTTTGGTGGGAAACGGGAAAGTCCCATGATTGTCTTTAGAGGCGCACTTATGTCGCTCAGACTTATAACTTTAAGTAGAACTATGGGCAAATTCCGGTGTATGAATCGGTCCCTCAATTCATACAACAGTTCAATCAGGACTTGCATTTCGCCAGATACTCAAAATTCACACCAGAGATATGGATATGGTTTGTCCAAGCAACTGAAGTCTTGTCCTACTAAATAGCCACGCTTTTGCGCCCAGGGGACTTCGAACCCTTGACCTTCCACTGGGAAGCCAGAGGCTCTGGCCAACTGAGCTATCTCAACTTGTTGATTTGAGATTTGTATGTGAAGAAATCTCTCTATTCTCACTCTATGCATAAGTATGAGACGTTATTTCTAAATAGTTTGTCAAATTACTTTAAAGTATCAAATTTAATTTTTTTGTGGTGTACCACAAAGAAAAAAAAACTAAAAAAGTGATAAATTTTAACCCAAAATATAGTGCATGAGAGATTTCTTGCAATGAATAGAGATAGCGATCCTCTCGATGATGAAATTGAAACAAGCAAGAGGTCAAAAAATGGGCCGAGTGAACATCCGGTTTATCCCCTCCAAAATTTAAGTCAGTGGATGTTTGAAGGCTTTAGCATAGTATTTCTCTTTTTTCAATTTAGTCTTGCGTACCTTTGTTCATTTTTTTAGGGAGTATTTATACCTGGATTAGCAACGAGTGCAAGGACATGGAATCTCATCTTGACATTTAATGATTTGCCTTCTTATCCATGTGTAATGAGTGTTCTTCACTCAAATCTTCATGCCTAGTTTACTCAGGTGATAAGATGACTATTCGGGACATGCCCAACACTTATGACCCTATTCCCCAGTCATTTAAGTCCTCTGATCGGTGCTTGATACCTATTCTCGAGCCTCCAATGCTTAGGGAACAGTACCCTGGGATACACCGAGAAGATATGCTCGACACCATAGCCATTAATGTTTTACAATTATGATTGTTAATTTGGGTCTCGAGGATGCAGGGGCTTATTAATGATCCTGTCATATTCACTCACGTTTTCATTAATGAGTTGTCAAGTCTTCTTAAATGTTGGTGTCGCTCCTCCGAGCTATTACTCCTTGACGTCACCTTTCGGTGCCTTTTTTAAGTTCCATAACGGCTATATCTTTCCTCGTGTCGATTTGGGGGCTACTGAGCTGCCTAAAGTCCTGTCACTTGCCCCCGGCCTTCATTTTCCTTGCAATGTGGGACCGGTGGTGCGAGGAGAGTGGAGGCTTGCCAAACACGCCTAATTTATAGGGGAGGTTATTTTCATGTCTAGCACCACCCTTTTCAAATTTTCAAATGATGAAATGCCTCCTCGATTCCCCCTTCTACTGCATGGTTGCATCTTTGAACTTCCTCTCAACAATCAACTCCTGAGCACCTTTTTTCAATTTCCCGAGCACCCATTCTTATTCCCCTGAGCATTAGTCTTGAAGATATCCAATCTGTAAGTGCTTCCCCCTCTTGATTTTCTTTCTCATTTGCCCATCCTTCCTCTACATTTCTCCTAGACTCCACCCATGACTATAATACACAAAACAGTGATTAGGGAACCTATTGGGACTAGGTAACCGCAGGTTGAGGAGGACTGAGGTAAAATAATTCAATATCCAAGCCTTTAGGGAAAAATACCACATCCCTGAGCCTGTTTTTGCCTTCTTCTTTGATCCTGCCTTTCATAGGAGAGATATATGGTGTGTAGAATTCATGCCCTTCTATACCAAGGCTATTATGGAAGGGGAAGTACATTCCCCCTCCATCCTCTCTTTCCGAGGATGTTAATGCATTTGAGTCTTTTTACCTTCTAGTGCGGCATAAATTTTTAAAGAGTATTAATGGGCGTAGTCTCCCTAAATGCTCGGCTTGGGGTAAACTTGAGGGTAGACGAAATCTTGTTCTGCTACGACCTAAAATTAGTCGTCGGTGGCAGGTACTACCTTCAAGCTCGGGACATTTCTATGTACCAAGTGACCCACATGCCGGACTCGGACAAGGGGTATGTTCAGGATCTTATCATGCTCGATGGCAGTTGGGAGAAAGAAAAAGAGCCCGAGTATCATGGATTATACTGTCCCAAAGTGTCAAGGAATCTAGGTGTGTATTGCACATATTTTGAGATAGTTCAACTTTTACTTGCTATTCTTGGCCTCATTGCTAGTTCTTCTTTGTAGACAGATACAAGGCAGACGCTGCTCAACCTTTTAATTCTCCCATAAATTTAATACACGATTGAGTTTACTAGAAATTAAAAATTATAAAGTTCAAGATTATTAAGATTCTCAAGTTTCACTCGCCCACTAAAATATTATCAAGAAACAACAACACATCATGACCATTATATATTGTGAAGATAAATTTTATAAGAGGTAGCAAATAGCTAGAGATCCAGAGAACAACCCGTACAACATAAACTATGAGTAAGAGTATTGAAATTTTAAATTTTGATTTAATTGCTTGACCTACTGATATGATAGTTTATAAGTTTTAATAATATTTTGTAACTGCAACTTTTAAACTTTTTCATTAGGATTATATAATTGGCCAAAACTTGGGAAAAACTCAAGTTGAAATTGATTTTAGATGATGGAAAAATGTTAATAAAACTAATGAATTTGTCATGAATACATTGGTAGTTATTAGCCCAATAGAAAAATTGTTTTCTAATTAAGTTTTAATGAATTATATTATATTTATAGTTGATAAAAATTATTTTTTATCTATCGGGGATCAAAACAAGAAAATAAAACTAATTGCGTATTTGTATGGAATTATCTTTGCAAATGTGGGACTTGTCAATTTATAAAAATATTAACGGACTTATCGCTTACTTCTTTGAGATACATAAAGGAGGACTTAGTATGTTCTCACTTACATATCTATTTGCGATGCAGATCCAGTTACCATCTTCAGTGAAACAAAGTTTTCATAAATGTCTACTGTAGAAGTATCGTGTAGTGATTTCTAAATCATGATTTTTACTTCTTCAAAGCACAAACCAGGTAATGCATGGATAATATTACATATAACCAAAACTATAGTCCGAGTGGAACATTGGAGACTAGAATGATATAAAATAGATTTTTGGGGTCCATTAGTGTAATTACGACATACTGCATGTGGACTTGAGCCAATATTTATCTTCTACTTCTTGTTTTTCTCTCTTTGCATAATAACAATGTATACTACTTGTTTTTGTTCTTCAATTCATGAATTGAGTTTTGTAAGGCCTTCAATTTTAGAGTCTGTGATATTTTTTCATATTCATCTTTCATTGCCTTCAGGGATTTAATCGACGCTTCAAGGCAATCAGCAAAGTTCTTGACCAAATCATGGAGGTAATTATCAATGAGCATGAACAAGATGCTAGTAGAGGACTTCAAAACCATGACAAGGACTTCATCGACGTAATGATATCATTGATGAACAAGTCCACCAACACTCATGATCAGTTTTCATACAAAATTGATCGAAACAACATCAAAGCTATCATACTAGATATGATCGCGGGAGCCATTGATACTTCTCATACTGCTATTGAGTGGATTCTCTCAGAACTGATTATGCACCCGAGGGTGATGAAACGACTCGAAGAAGAGCTAATGAGTGTTGTAGAAGGGACTCGAATGCTTGAGGAGACGGACCTGAATAAATTGGAATACTTAGACATGGTAGTCAAGGAGAGTTTGAGACTTCATCCAGTGGCACCATTATTGGTTCCTCATGAGTCTATGGAGGACATAGCAATCAACGAATATGACATCCCTAAGGGGTCACGGATTATCGTGAATTCTTGGGCGTTAGGGCGAGACCCCAAAGTGTGGTCGGAAAATGTGCAAGAGTTCCTCCCAGAGAGATTTATCGGTAGCAATATTGACCTTCGAGGGCGTGATTTTCAGCTCATACCATTTGGTGCAGGGCGAAGAGGTTGTCCTGGGATGCATTTGGGGTTAACCAACGTAAGATTGGTGGTGGCTCAGTTAGTGCATTGCTTCAACTGGGAGTTACCTAATGGCGTTTTACCTAGTGAGTTGGACATGAGGGAAAAATTTGGTCTAACGGCGCCAAGGGTCACACACTTGCTCGCTCTGCCAACTTATCGTCTGCATTAATTAAACTTATATTAGTTTTCTTGAACACTCCCTCTTCCCCTTGCCCTCCCCCTCCCAAAAATAAAAAACTGTTTTTCTTATATATTTTTATGGTGCAATGTAGTCCTTTTATATGGTTGTCGACACTGTCTTGGTTATATGGACGTAGTTAAATAATTTGACAGAATGATAAAATAAAATGTTGTACTTGGACCATAAGTTTTCTATCTATGGCAGAGTCGGGGAGTGTAAGTAGAATATAATCTTAATTACTTCTATTTTTTTGGTACTAGAATGTATGATATATTGGTTAAATGAAGAAATGAAGTTAGAATTTTGTTAGGAATTTTATTCAAATGGATTATTATAACGTGAGTGACAAAAATTTAGTTACATTGAACTTATCAAAATTAATTTTCATAAGAAATTATCATACATATTATTTTGGGTCATATATTCTAAAAATTGATTCTAGCTTAACATTATAAAATTAAGCTTGTGATGATGTCACCGTTCACTCATCCCGATATATATGATTATGTCTATACTTATTTTAGTAAATTTGTTTGAGTTGTTTTTTGGAGCGAGTCATGAAATGACGATTCCAATTTTTTATGACAAATATTTTTTGTCACAAATAATAATAATTCATCGCCAAAATAAATAATAAAAAATTAAAATTAAATAAAAATATTTATTTGCGACATTTTTATGTCTGTCGCGGATTATAAATTTTGGTTTTGTAGACCAAAACTAAAGTAAAAATATTAACTTGCGACAATTTTATTTACGTCGCAATTACAGGTGTTGATCAAGACGAGCTACTCCGACTCTGCTCAAATAATTTGGCTCGAGCTCAACTCGTGTTCTAAATAAGCTGAGCCTGAACAATTTTAAAAGAGACTTGCCACAAGTTCACAAAGTTCGGCTCGTTTATATGTAAAATAATCGAATTACTTGATTTTGAGTTTAGCTTGAGTTCTAAACGAGTTGAACTTAAACGATTTTTTAGGTTTGTTTAAAAAATTAAGCTCAGGTTCTGACTCGAACTCACAAAGTTCAACTCGATTAATAGCCCTAGTCGCAATAAATTTGTTCAAAAATTTTTATTGTGACGTTTTTGTTTTTGCCTTATTTCATGTGTTAGTTTTAATTTTTTACCTTAAAATCGTGTATTTATGATTACAATTGTCATCTGAGATTGTGTTGTTGGAGCTATGGTTAACCAATTTGCATTTTTGCGAGTTGTGGGTATGATTTTTCATTATAACTTGCAAGTGTGATCGCGTCTCTAACCCTAATTTGCAATCGCTCCTCTATAATTTAACCAAATCATATTTTTCTTTTTTTCTTTTTTTCCATTTCAGGCCACAACTTTTGGCTTGGATTCAAGTTTCTACAACTCATAGGGTTATGAAACCCTCAATTTACAATTGAAGTGAATATTTTTCTGATGAGTTTGTTAAATGTGTCATTAATTTTGAGTTTGTCAATTGCATTGGTTTTACTCAAGAATTTTATCACGGGTTTGCAGTTCTGCGTATGTGAACAATTAAACATTGTATCTATATGGGCTGTAGGCCCATTGCTATGGAGTGAAGGGGATACTTATGCTATTTTGTGAGACTTCTATTTTTTGTTGATACTTCTTAGATATCTTGTATTCTGTGGACTGTTTACTCCAAATTAGTATTCTTGTACTAAAGGTTTTTTTACACATAGATGTTACTTAATATAAAAATAGAAAATTGTTACCTGGAGCTAATGAGTACTTGCATTGCATTTCGTCTGCTTCTTGTGCTGGTGACGGTGGAAAAGTTGGAGAGATAGTCAAGAGCACCCATTTTGCTCCTTTGGCGAGAGAGAGAGAGAGAGAGAGAGAGAGAGAGAGAGAGAGAGTGTGTGTGACACTTGGTAGTTAGTATTAATATAAGATGACTGTGGGGCTTAAAAGGATTATATTGTGAGAATATGCTGATTCAAGAAATTAGTGTAAGAAAAAATGTGTGGCCCCTATGCTTTTGGATTTCCTTAATTAAATATAAGGGTAAACTAAAGAAAAAATGTTATATAGCTTTTGTTTGCTTTCATGTCCGTTCGATGGTGCGGCTTTGCTTTGTAATTGTTTATTAGAAATCCCAGTACTGGCTTCTGTAGGTTGATTTTATCCAATGGTTGAAGTGTGAGGGTCTCTTTGGTTTACGTCTCTAATAAAAACAGTATTCGAAAATTTTAGAAAAGTGTTTTTGAGACGAACAAGTTATTTATTTAGATGATTTCAAAAATAATTTTATAAAATAAAAAACAATAAAACTTGTTTGCATAGATAGTTTCATATAAAATTATTTTAATAAATTAAACTTGATAAAATAAAATTAAAAAAAAAAAGAAAAATTTTGTCATTGATTTAATTGGGTAGTTGGAGCTTCGCCGGAGTAATTCCAAATCTGAAAGTTGAACCTAGATCTGAAAACACAAATGCTGGAGAAGACAAATTAAGATCTGAAACTTAAATCTGAAAATTAAGATCTGTAACCCAGATCTGAAAAGACGAAGAACAAGACGATCTCGTTGTCCGAGAAGAAGAAGAAGTTATCGCCGAAGTATAGAGAAAGAAATTCAGAGAGAAAGAGAAAGTCTAGGAGGGGGAGACCAACAAAAAAAAAAACTTTTTATGAAATAACCTAGTCGTCGGAGAGTTCCCAGTCGTCGGAGAAGACAATCTCCCGTATCTGTTCCTTTTTTCTGGCTTTGCCAAAGTAGAGAGAGAAAGAGAGGCAAAAATAAAAAAAGAGATAATTGGCAAAGATAAAAAACCTTTTATAAGAAAATCTATTTGCTGCTAAGAAGGTTTGAAGAGAAGACCTCTTTAATAAGCCAATCTGTTCTCCGTGTTTCCTTCTCATCCTCCAAAACACCCGAAAACAACATTTGGCTTGTTTTCTTTTTTATTTTTGCTCAAATTCTCATTTTTTTTTAAAAAAATTTGAGAACAAAAACACTAACCAAATAGATTTTCATTGTTTTTAGAGTTTTGAATTTTTTAAAATTTTCATCATTTTTTTTAGCTATTTTCAATCGAGGGGCGAAGCACCATGCGCATGAGAACTTAGAAGAGGCATATTTCAAGTTTGTGCGCGAATTTAACAACCTTAGCCATCCTTTTATCCTTATATGGGAACAAACAGTCAAACTCATTCACACAATTCGAATGAAGGATGTTATGTTTTGATTCAAGTACAAACTCATAATATGTCTTTTCATCGCCTGAATTTGTTGCATCTTCCTTTGCCCTTCTCTCCGATAATTTTCAAACAAGAGAGAAATCAAAAGCTCGGAATAGTATCTGATTCGAGAGAGGCTATTGCTGAATTTCTTGAATCAAGTTCATTTCACAAATGCTAAACTTCTTTTTGAATTTTTTGTCCGTTTTTAAGTGTTCTGCAATATTGTGTTCTTGCACTCTGTTTAGTTTTGTTGCAACAACAGGAATTCTAACTTTGGTCTTCAGAATTATTTAAAATTAGATATAGATGGTCTAATTCCTCGTAAGCTCGCGTTCCAGAAATATAGCTTCAAACACTTCTGTCTTTGGCTTTCTTCAAATTTATATTGGTCGATAATTAAACAATAGTTCAATACAGAACTTGAGGACCTTTGTGCAAGATAGTCTAAATTTTTTTGGGAAATTCAAGTGACACAGTCCAAGATTCAAGAGACCCAAGAAGTCAGCGCACATGGGGAGTAAACGCCGGGATAACCACTACTTGAAGATATCCTTAGTTGTAGATATCTTCCCCAGAGGACTAGTAACCTATCCCTCACGCCACCGCCTCAACTAAGATTTTGTGTCTATAAATTGTATGCCCTCTACATATGAGGGTGCACACCTTTTTACCCAGCTATCTCTCCACACCTATAGCTTACTCTCTCTCTCTCTCTCTCTCTCTCTCTCTCCCACTTATTACTTTATCAATAAAGTTATTTGGCCATCATCGCTGCCTTCAAAGTGTTGATCTCATCTTTATATTTATTACACTTATTATCTATATTAATTACTGTTTATTAGTGCCCTAGCGAAAGATTATCTATATTTGGACGAAAGACTTGTTTATTAGTGCCCTGGCGCCTCCCATGCTCTTCCTCCTTAGGTACCTGCTCCACCCCCACAAGCTGCCAACCATCTAGGGCAGGAGGATGAGGGGGAAAACCAGTATGCAGATCATGCAAGCTACTACCGCAAACAAACAAATGGTGTCCATAACCAATGGGACGAAAAAATTGAGGTGCAAAACCAGCTTGGTGATGCCCTCAACGCTATTAAAGCATAGGCACAAAAAATGGTGGATTATCTGGTAAGGCGTATTGACACTCCTTTTGTGGTGGATGTTGTCAACTATCGTTTGCCCTCAAAATTCAAGATGCCTACCATGGAGATCTTTGAAGGTACGAAGGATCTCCTCAATCATCTTGACACATAAAAGTCTCTCATGCAACTCCTCAATGTGCCTGACAAGATCATGTGCAGAGTTTTCCCTGCCACCCTTAAGAGATCTGCATGACAGTGGTTTGCCAAGCTCAAACCTTCTTCCATCCACTCCTTTGCAAAGTTAAACAAGTCTTTCGTCTCCCATTTCATTGGGGAAGCCGGTATCAGAAGTCAGTATCCCACCAACTCACCATCAAACATGATCGAGATAAAAGCCTGAGGAGTGACCTCACTCATTTTAATGAGGAGGATCTCTAGATCAAGGAGAAAGACGACAAGGTGACCATGATTGCCTTTATTGCGGGTCTGCACTCCTTGAGTTTTATGTTTTTCGTCCTTAAGAACCCACCATCCAGCATGCTCGAGCTGCTATCAAGGTCGCAGAAATACATGAATGCGGGGTATGTTACCAAAGCCAGACGAGGTGAGTCC